GGTGTATATGTGTGTCAGGGTAGGTGTGTGTGTGTATATCTGGGTGTATATGTGTGTGTGTATATATCTGGGTGTATGTGTGTGTATATATATCTGGGTGTATGTGTGTGTATATGTGTGTCAGGGTAAGTTGTGTGTGTATATATATATCTGGGTGTACATGTGTGTCAGGCTGTGTGTGTATAGATCTGGGTGTATGTGTGTGTACATGTGTGTCAGGGTAAGTTGTGTGTGTGTATATATATCTGGGTGTACATGTGTGTCAGGCTGTGTGTGTATAGATCTGGGTGTATGTGTGTGTACATGTGTGTCAGGGTAAGTTGTGTGTGAGTATATATCTGGGTAAATACATTCATAAAGCAGGTTTAACTAATTCAGGATTTCTCAAATCATCCCGGTAGACTTCACCTTACAGCTGCGTTCAGGTGAACTCAGGCTTCAGTTATCCGGTTACAGTCCAGTTAGAGGGTTCAGGCGACAGCAACAGTCTGCATGCGGGACCAGGAGCTCCAGCTCCTGAAGGAAGCGCTGTGATAGAGTGGAGCTACGGCACCCTGGAGCTCTGCAGGAGCCAGAGAAGACGCCTGGCAAGGAATCGCAGATCAATCCAACCCGGAGGTGACAGGTGTCCAGATAAACGCAGGCAGGTGCTGGCAGGAGGATGGCACTGACGTGGGGCTCTGCCTGAGGCTGGAGGGCTTCACACTTGTACACTATTGTCTGGATGTGTTTCCGCTCGCTGGGCTGTTGGGGGGGGCCGCAGGGCTGCTGTACAGTGCGGCGCCCTCCTCGGAGTGGAAGTGTGTCCTGATTTGAGCAGCAGGAGAGTAAGACTGGAGCCGGAGGAATCATCACCATCATCAACTCAATAAAGGCTGTTTTCCGGTACCGGGATATTTCCTTTTTCCAACATTGTTGTGAATTAAGTAGCACAGGTGGGAGTCCCCCCCACCCGGATGCAGAAAGTCTTAAGCCAGGTAGAAATGTCTATATGTTGTAGGCTCTAATTTTATTTTCAGATGGTGTGAATTGATTTCCTATTAAAAATCAGCCTAGTTGTGCCCTGTGGAGTATTTAATGAGGTTGTCTGCACAGTCCAGAGAGTGTATTACATCAGGAAATTGCTGTAAGAAATGTTTAGATCACAGTGCAGAGCTACAGAGAACAGAACTACATTCGCAGTGGACAGAATTAGATATGAGAACATTACCAGCTAGTTCATGAAACCCCCGCTTGATGGTTTGCACTAATGTACAGCCAGGAAACCTTCTGAACCGTTTCAGTGCAAACACCACTTTCCTCACTGCAGGGCACACTGTGATATACTGAAGCGCTGTGCTCAGCCCGACCAGCAGTTTGAGTTTCTGCTCACACTGAGCTGCAACAAGCAGTATTAACAGTGTGCGGGTTTAAGAGATCGTGAATGTAAGGTTTACTCTGCTGAAACGGTGAAAGGCCATCTCTAAATCTCAGCGGCAGTAATGCCCTGCAGACTGAGTAATCTGGCTTCGTGAGATCTCCCTCTGTGATGTGTGTACAGCCCACAGCCATGCATACAATACAACCCCTGTCTTCACCCCAGTCCCAATCAAATCCCAGTCAGTCGTCAATACGCTGGATTCTGAACACAGCTCTGTTTATTGCAGAGACAGATGCAATACATAAAAACTCAGAAAAGGGGTAGAAAAGAGTCAAGGGTCTGGGGTGTGTTTATACCCACACACACGATTATGATGGAGAATAGGGAGAGCCATCGGTTAGCATGCAATACTGATATAACAGCACAGAGCAGAGCAATGCAAGGTTGTGAGTTTGTGCCTCACCTGGAGCAGTTCTTTTGGGGTGGTGCTCTGTGGCTAAGGATCTGTGCCTGTGACCGGAAGGTTGCCGGTTCAAATCCCACAACCGGCAGAGGAATCCTGCTCCATTGGCCCCTGAGCAAGGCCCTTAACCCCCACTGCTCCAGGGGTGCTGTATAAATAGCTGGCCCTGCACTCTGACCCCCAGCTTCTCTCCCTGTCTGTGTGTCTCATGGAGAGCAGGCTGAGGTTTGTGAAAAGACAAATTCCTAATGCAAGAAATTATATATGGCCAATAAGGTGATCTTAATCTTAATCAAGAAAGCTGAAATTGAAAACGAGGGAGGCCCCTGTCACATGATGAGGGTACACGGCCTCAGGAAGCGCGGACGTGACGTATTTTCCGGCGATGGCGGGCGAAGATGGCGGCCGGTAGCGCTAAGGGCTCATTTGAATCCAGGCAGTAAACACAGCGCGCGAGTGTTTGATAAGGGACCCGGGGCTCAAAACCCGCTCCCGGTGATTACCAGATCTTGGCTTCACGGAACGGCCGGTGCTCTGGAAGAAGCAAGGTCTGCCTCTGGATCCGTGTTCGCGTCTGGGTCAGTGTCTCCGGTCTCTAGACCGTGCGTGTGCTTCTCCGTCCTCGGCTCTCAGTCCGGTTTATCCATCTTTTTCACAAGTGCAGGGCAGTGCTTCTCTGCATGTGTGCGCCAGTGCAGAGACGTTAAGGAAACGCCAAACGTTGAAACAGCAGCAGCAGCAGTTAATACGTTGCAACAGCAGCAGCAGCAACAACACACGGTAACACACGGCAACACACGGCACAGGCAGTGTGAGGCAGTGGTAGGGGCAGAGTTCAGGAGTCTGGCAGCCTGTGGGAAGAAACTGTCTCCGGACCCGGGGATTCGTGCCTCTCTGCTCCTATAACTCTCGCCAGAGGGAAGGCTGGTGTCCTTAGCATTACTCCCCGCCTTCCTGAGACCGCGAGGTGTAAACATGTCCACAGCAGTGGGGAGCTGTACCCCAGTGATGGACTGGGCTGGCCTGATCACCCCTGCTGCCAGACCACACTGATCCCGCACGAGAGCGCCTGTAGCGTGAAGCAAGGACACTGGAAGACAGGCAGGTCGTCTTGTGTCCACACACGGGCTTGAGGGGCTTTTCTGCAGCAGGTTTGGGGGTCTGGGAGTGTCTGTGTCTGTTGGAGCGTCTCCAGGTCCTCAAGAGCTGACTGCCCTTCTCTGTGTTTCAGGGTGAGAGGGAGACAGCGCCACCATGGGGCGAAGATCGACGTCCTCCACCAAGAGTGGGAAATTCATGAACCCCACTGACCAGGCTCGTGAGTACAGCTCCTGTCCACTGTAATAAC